CAAAGTAGCTCTGTGTAGCCAGTGACATCAGCTGTTAGCAAAGCCACCAAGTAGTTCTTGCTTAAGACCATTTTCAGCCTGAAATTTTCCATACTAATGGTTTGCTTCAGGTAACTTTTCCTCACTTTCCTGTCATCCAAATATAAAAAAAGAAAAAAAAAAAAAAGGCAAAGAATGGCTGGAACATTTTTCTATTATGACAGAACCTATGAAAAAAAGAAGCCTTTATAAACTCTTACTTTGAAAAACTATAAGCATTTCTCTGCCTTGAGTCAGTACCTTGATATCATGCTGGACGAGGGTTGTACACTTTGCTCATTTTGGAAAAGATAAAACCTGATCTGGTAAAGCTACAAGCTTCTAGAATTCAGAGTTTGTACATACTCAGTGGCCAAGACCTGCTGGAGCTTAAGAACAGGTTTTTAATCTGAGCTACTGCCAAGGGTTCTTAAATGGCTGCATTAATTATATTATTGTTTATTAACAGTAATTGCAAGACCTTTCTAACCTTTCAAATGTAAGAAAAATGGCACTTTAGTTCCATTCCTTCCCCAGTACTTCCCTAGCTGTTTTTTGCAATTGAATTGGATTCACTGAGCAACTTCCAAATGCTGAACAGTAATGTCCTAATAGTAGTCAAAATCAGAGATGCAAGCTTCTACTTAGACCACTACAAATAAAATTATTCCATCCCAAAGCCAAAGAAACCATGAGAACAAGAGTCCATAGCACTTCCACAAGAAAACAGATAAAGAAATGAAGCAACTTGAAATGTGACTTGAAAGATTATTTTTACAAGATCAGTAACGTTAGTCAGTTCAAACTGATGCAAAGCAGCATGGTTACAAAACATGCAAAAAGATTAAGTCTAATTTAATATCAGGAGGAAGACCACAAAGGCTGAAGACATTCCTAACACTAAATTAAATATATTACAGCTTTGCCGTAAGCTGGAGCCATATTTTATGTTATATACAATAGAAATATCTTTGCATCAGCAAAGAGGAAGATGTGTAGTATTTAAATTAACAGACTGCAGAGAATTAAAAAACTTACAAGTACAAAGCAAATGCCATCGAAATAACCTTCTTAAAACCCAAAAGTAAGAAAAACTGAAAACAGGTCTACAGTAACGCAATACATAAGGTAAAGATCTGTGCATAACACAGTACATCATGTCACCTGTCTAACTCAGTGCATTTGTTTTCAAGGTTCCCTTTTAATTAACAAGCAAGCATTGATATCTTAGCATTCACTGTCACAGAAGAAACACAATATCAAGTAATCAGTTATGCTGCCTTATTCCTCTGTCAGTAAGAGCTACAAAAAATTCTAACAACCAACTTTTTCTGTTGATTTATTTCACTTTGAACTGTTACAGTAGATACTATAATTAAGTCAAAATGGTTTAATGACCCATCTCCTGACATCAGGGACAGCTAATTTTTCCTGCATTTGAAAATGATAAGTGAGCCAGAGTATTGGACTTAGAAAAACTGAAGTGGAGCTACAATCTTAACATCTTTTGAATGTGCACATAAATTATATCATGTAAGTCATTCTGTATGTTCTCAGTGCAGGAGAGAGATGGACCTGTGGGAGTACATCCAGAGGGCTACAAAAATGATCCAAGGGATGGAAAACCTCCCTACAAGGACAGGCTGAGAGAGCTGGGGCTAGAGAAGATAAGGCTCCAGGAAGACTTGAGAGTTGCCTTTCAGTATCTTAAGGGGGGCTATAAGAAGGAAGGGGACAGACTCTTTAGCAGGGTCCGCTGTGATAGGAAAAGGGGAAATAGTTTAAAACTGAAGATTGGATACAATAAAGAAGTTTTTTATGGCAATGGCAGCAAAGCACTGGCACATGTTGCCCAGAGAGGTGGTGGATGCCCATCCTTGGAGACATTTAAGGTCAGGACGGATGGAGCTCTGAGCAATCTGGTCTAGCTGTAGGTGACCCTGCTCATTGCAACGAGCAGGGGAGTTGGATTAGATGGCCTTTAGGGGTCTCTTCCAACTCAAACATTCTATGATTCTGAAAGAACACACAGATCTAGTAATCCAGGCATACTGAGAATGACAAAGAGTTAACCACAAAATAAATGTCGTAAAGCAAGAGTTCACATTCTTTTACGCAAGTGTTCATTTTAGGAAGGTACACATCCTCCTACTTCAGGGAAGCCTGGCTTTGTTCATCTATTGATATCTTTATGCTACCTACCTTTGCAGAGTTACCTACATTAGCTCATTTTAGTTAGCAAACAAAAAACACATTTCTAATTCTAAGGAAATAGAAACTGTTTTAAAATGTATTTTCCACATGTATGATCCGCTCACTTTACAAATATTATAAGAATGTAAGTATAACAACGCAAATAAATTTGTCAGATTTTCACTGCTGACAACTCATCAAATTTGTACCAGATCAAAATAGTGACATCTCATTTGAAAAATTAAGTAATAAACAAATATCTGTAACCATTTTTTCAATTCACAGTCCTGTTCAAAAGCATATAAAATATTCAATACATGGTTCTCTTTCTAACTATTTCTGTAACTGTTTCCTGTAAATGTTATTTACAAGTGTTATCTTGCCTTCATATTCTCCCAGTTAACATATTTATATCACAATCATTTCTTCAGTATGCATGTATGGTGAAAGATGTTCTCATTTTTCATCAGAATACAATGATATATATATGGGTTTTTTTAAAGGAAACAACTGGAAGTAGGAAAACTAAAGCAAAATAAATCAGTTTTGCAAACTATAGATATCAGAATGAGTCTGAACTGAAAGAAAAACAAAACTGTGATTTAAACCACGCATTTAAGAACATATTACTTATGTTTGAAGGTTGTACAGCTGTAAAACAGTGCTTTCCTAACCATAAACCTTTTCAAAGAATCAAAATGATTTGTTTTTATTCAGTAGATAAAAATTCAAGTTTATTCAGTAATTCACAAAAATACCTAACCTTACAAAGAATACAAGTAAGAGAAACATCTCAGAATACAAGTAAGAGAAACATCTCAGAATACAAGTAAGAGAAACATCTCTAGATTAGTATAACTAAAAACACATCATGTGAAAGTTCTGACACATTGAAAAGACTATATTGTTTACATTATGAGAAACAAAATAATGAGAAATCAGAATTAAAAAGAGTTCAAGAAATATGAGCAGACAGACACATTGCTAAAATCATTAACGTGGCTAAGGAGAAGCGTTAGAGCTCAGAAAATCAACTCATTTTTTAAAAACAGGTATAAAACCAGCAACATGAGTTTCTAATGCCCTCAGTTTCTCTGCATCCAATTGGCTACAAATAAACTTTTATCATTCGGTAAAACACAACATTTTTAATTCGCTGGAACTTGCTGAAATTGTAGTTTTAACAACACAGAAATCATTGGATAATAAAAAAGATGGTGTAATAAAAAAGCAATCATACTCACTAGGTCACCTATTCTATTTTACTTCAAAACAACTTAAACCTGAAGCACTTTTGAAATCAAATGCACAATCAAGCTGAGTTGAGCTACACATGATCTTCATTCCTTTTTATGCAACTCCAAAAAAACTGTATTATTGCTACATGAAGGACTTTCTTCTCCTCCCCCTTAAAGCAAGTACTATGTTTCCCTGCTGTTAATTATCAATTTATATTAATGTTAAGAACAGACACAATACAACTCCCCCAAAACACATCTACCTAAAAGAAGATAAAGTACATTCCAAAAGAAAGATTTAGTCTTAAAAACAGGACTACTAGCAAGATCTCAACTTTCGGCATCCAAAGAACAGAAAGTCAAATAAATGCATGGTAATAATTGTGTTGGACCTTCACTTACCAGAAATGCAAGTTACTATAAGTAAACAGTACCTTGTTTTATTCTCAGTTCAAAAGTACCATGCATGGTACCAGGCAGCTATGCAGCTCACAGTAGGCCCCTTGATTTAACAATTTTGAGTTGTAATATCTTTCCTCTCAAGGCTATCTTACTCATCCAACACAGAGGTCCACAGTAGATCTCCTGCCTCTCACTCTGCTTACTGTGCAACACGCCATTCAGAGAAATCAACATACATGCCACAATCGTATTATTAAAACCAGTGATTTAGGCCCAGTTTTGCAACACTTATGCAAAACTGAGCTTCAGAAATTGATTCTGACACACAGAAGGAAACCTCTGAATCTTATTTATTTAATGCAGGTAACTTTTAATTTTTCCCTGTGACCTGTGAATGAAAAATCCAAGTATGTGGAAACTCTGAAATCTCTCAGATCTAAGTCATACCAAGAAAAAGAAGAAAGAAAAAGCAAACAAAAAAGGTCACACTCTGTAGCTTTTTGCTGAACAGTCTTCTAATACAATGGCACATGAAGGGACTCTAAAATAATTTTAGGAAACTGTATTTTGTGCAATTGCCCAAAATTGTACATGTGCTACACATGTATTGATAAAAATAAATAAATATGATCCAGTACTGCCTGTACCTCCACCTCTTTAGTCTACTATCTCCTTTAAAAAACAGAAAACAATTGATCTTTTTTTAATCAAAGAGATTAACACTTGCTATTCAGACACACATCTGTAGAGTGCTGATAACAAATCCTTGTCGAAACATACAACAGCAAACAGCTGCTTGACTGCTCTGTTGTTTTTAGTCACTGTGGCAGCCTTTTTTGTTTTCTGGAAAACAACCTAATGGCTGAGATCACAAAGAATTCTCTGTGAGGAAGAAGAAGCTCAAAATAACTGCATTCTGCGTGTGCTCAGATCCATACAGTTTCACAACAAGGCTATAAATACAGCAGTTCTCTTTTATTCCCTGTGTGCTTGACTCATTGTAGCCCATGGAGACTTCTGAATAGATCAGTGGCAGATTTACCCAGTATTCTAGGCTCCTTTCTCATCATCAAGGGAGGAGAGCCAGAAAAACAGTAATATTTCAAGATGCAAAACTAAAGAATTGTATATGGAGTACAAAATGCTTACCTGCTGAGCTAAGCAAAACACTGAAGTCTGTTCCTCTCTGTGATTCTCCACATTCTCTCTGTCCCTCTTTCTCTGCATCCTCATAGCGGTTCCAGTTTGAAACAATCTTTCTTCTTGAGTAGTTTTTCACTTCCTCTTCCTCCTCTCGTGATTCAGTATCACCATCATCCTCTACCTGTCATATTTAAACAGACAGAAAAGCCATTACAACTCAATAGCGTTTAGCTCAGGATTTAGATTGTCACAAACACAATTAACTACAACCACAGAATTCAACTCCAGAAAGACAAAATCAGCCTGGGTAAGTGTCATCCCATCAGAATTTTAGATGAGGTGCAACTATATTCCTGAAATACATGTAACACCTGAAATGTATTCAAACTATCTAGCAGAGCTTCCTATAGGGGTCAAGCAGTGATGCTGGTGCCAAATACTGCTGTTGTCCCTCCTGTTCTGGAAGCCCATACCAAACAGCTTTCTGATACTGCGGGGCAGCAGAACTACTCTTTTAATCACAGCATCTCTACCCAAGTGTTGCAGTGATGCAGATGATAATTGAATGAAGTGTCTGATGTTTGTTGCGTGAAATTTAACAAAGCCAACATCACAAATATTGCAGAAGAAAAGCACAGACAGGCTTATCCATGTAATAATTTCTATTTTAACCAACTTCCTTCGAGGCCTGAACTCAAGTAATGTGGAATAATTTCACAAATCCATTTCCTTCACGAAAACCATTTTATTGAAATACACAAGGAAAAATTAAATAGACTGCTGGCAGTCAATCTACCTGCCCAAATACTTACAACACGCTGGGATTGAAGGGAAAACTGATAAGAGAGTCAACGTCAGGTTCAAGCATTTGCCAAAGTACTTAACCACTATGGAAAACTCTCCCCTGCATCAAGTAAGCTTTTCCTCCACAGTGGTTCGTCTAGAACAACCATTGCTTCACGGATACAAAAGTCTCCTTCATAATGGAAGGAGCGCACAATAGGCAAGAAGAGAACCTAGAGCAGCTGAAGAATCTGAGCAGAAGATACCTTCTGCAGAGTTCTAGGGCTTTCAAGAAAAAGAGAAGGGGAGTCAAGAAAGAAGAGATTCCCTGTGTGCCTCAGACACTCCTACTGACAGCTTCACTCTTTACCTCACCTTCACTTAATCTCTCCTTTTACAAACCATAATGCACTGCTGCCATAAAATTTAATTTCGCTGTCCCAACTATAAGTGCATTCTCTGTAACCAGAGCAGTTAAATACAAGTTTGTCAGCACTGCTGCACAGCTTAAAGTAACTTCATTCAGTATAAAATAATTTTAAAAGGAAGTCACCTTACTGTAAGTCATTATATATCTATAAACCAAAATTCCCTTATAGCTCACCATCAGACACTTGCTTTAAGGAGGACCTTGGCTTTGATAGTTTAAATCACGTGTAATCCTGAAATAAACATGAAGAGCAATTCTTTATACCAAACAAATGTCCTTATAAGTGAAGAGCTACAACATCTTGTGCAGAAAAATTGCTAAAGCCTTAAATAGTTACTGTGTCTCTAAAACTACACTAGGTTTTATTTTTTTTAAGCACAGTACTGTAGAATTACACGCTGGTACAAGACTGGACAAAATGCCACATCATACAAGTAATAAAACCAGAACTTCAAAATGGCTTCAATATAAACAATCCACTTATATTCACAGAACAAGCTTCTTTCACCAGCGTTCCAGGAGCCCTGCTTAGGAACAGCATGAAGGAATGCTAAAATCATCAAAGAGCAGAGAAACAGATTAGAAGCAATCATACAGATATATTCCCAGTTGTCAAAAAACTGACAAAAGGGAAAATATTCTGTGCATTCTCATTGGTTTTGTGTAATTTTTAGAAAGAAAAAGAGATGTTATCTCTCTGTCAGATACAGATACTAAAATAGTTGTGAACAAATGGCTGGTTGCATGAGTGAGAGGGTGAAGTCAAAACTCTACGTTACTGGGGACTGACCTAGAGCTACAATTTCCAAAGAACAAAGGCTAAATCCACTTAGATTAAGATAAGAATGGATTTGGTTCTTTTTCTTCTCCTACAAATTAAATGATTTGCTATAATCCACTGAAGCCTAATGGAATTTTGTGCCTGAAATAACTGGGAGATGATACAATTCACAAGTGAAAGCAAGAATAGTGTTGTACTTTCTTTTCATTACAAAGAAGAGATCAGAATCATCCGAGTCAGCTGTGGTACTATTACAGATCTGTTTAAAAGACGCTCTTCTTTCAGCCATCAACAACAAAACAGGAGTATCACCTTCTTAACAAGCTTCCACTAAACTAATATGGATTGAAACGTTTTCTCTTAAATACAAAATAATGATGGACTGAATTCTTTTTCACATTCTGTCATTAGCTATAATGCTCACCTCCAGTAAATTGCATTTCTTAGCAGTTAATTTGAACTTGAGTTAACTTGAACTTTAAGAAACAAACCACAATTTCCAAAGAGTGTTAATAGGCTCTGTGCAGTCTAGTTCCTTCAGTACTAACCTGAGATTTACTTTAGAATTGTATAAATTTCAAATACAAATCCCCCTACTTCTCCCAATAAATATTTCAAGGAAAATGTTACATAATGCACGGTCCTGCTACAGGATGAAACTGAAAGTAATCATACTTGAATATTCAATATTCAAACAACTTAAAGATGCATTTTGAACATTAAAATCATGGGTTATCAAAGATATTCAGACACATCTCTGATCAGTGAAGCTTCAGAAAATAATTTGCTTCTACGATCTCTTATGAGACAGCTACCATCTAAAGTAACAACTTCAGAAACAAAAATAATCATCAATCTTCACTTCTTTCCCCTTATCTGCCTTAGCTACCATTACTGAAAATTAATTTTAATCAGTACACAGCAGACTTCTATCTATAACAAAACAAAATGCTTCACCTTCCCCCATTTCCCATTCTTGAATAACAAATGACACAAGCTGAAATAATTTCTTGAAGACAGTCCTACTATGCATGGTGATATAACAGCAAGTTAAGTATTCATCTGCTCCACTTAAGATAGCATTACATGCACTAACATTTGCAAATTTAATTGCAATTTTGGTGACAGTATACAAAAACCCAGTTAAATAAAACCAGGAAACCTTCTGCCTGTTTTGTCTTTAAGATGTGCATTCTGCCTATATCTAAGCTAATTAAGGTCCTTCACACAATACCAAAAGAACTAGGCTACTGTACACAATGTAGGGCCTTTTGCAAGGACATATTTTTACCATTTACCATAGCATACAACTCCACCTTCCTTCTGAAGGAAAGTAAAATGCTCAGCACGTAGGACTCTAAGAATATTTTAGTATACTCTCCTTTAGACACCGAATCTGCATACAGGGCTGGGAAGATATGTAAGCGAGAAAAAGTGGGAAAGCAAGATTTCTGTTTGACATTTGTTACAGACAAGAACATATAGATGCACACGTTCCAGAACTGAAAGTGTCAAAATGAAGTAAACATTATTCTGAACAGGCAATTTCCCCTGGGGTCAGACTTGGGCACCTCCTGGAACCCAGAGTGTTTTGAATCAAACCAAGGCTGAGGCACACAATGGAGAAAGTGTAACTGACCTCCCACATTCTGCTTCAATGACTCAAGCACCCTTCTCTGTAAGTGCAGTCAGTCCTAGCACATTAAGCACTAACACTCAACGAGAACAGCTGAGCTCACAGCTCTTTTAAAAACCTAGCAGTGCATCAGTAGTCAGAGCTTCCATTATGACTCTCTAAAACTTTCTATGAGGCTTTCTATTTATTACCTTTAGGAAGCCACAAGAATTGCTTATAGTCCTCTTTCTTCCTGTTTAGTTCTATTAACTTTGTAAGAAAAAAATTAAATGTCTAATCTCTGTTCATGCTTAAAATGTTCTGCAACAGCTTGGAGGAACATACAAACAACACAGGCTCAGTTTATCTTTCTTTGAGCCAACTACCTTTTCCCCATTATATAGCTATCAGGCATTATTATATTTTCTTCCTACTGATATTGTTAGTATTTCTTCCAGTTTTCTTCCTAACAGCACCCCTTCAGAGAACATGTGAAAACATAAGAGTTTTGAGTCAACAGTCTTGAATTCCCTCTTCCTTTCTGGACACAGCTGCAAAGCTGTGGCCAAATCCCAGTGATATTCAATACCAATTTTTCTTCTCATCGGTGTAAAAGACTAGCAAGACAAAAAGAAAAACATCTCACAGATTCAATCTGACCGACATGATCAGCTGTACCATGAATGAATACATTTAAAATAGCAAGGCATCTCTGCAGGGACAATTTCTCCTTTCCTCCTCACTCCAATGTAAGCAGCATCTATTATTATAGCTACATTCTCACAGATAGAACTCCTAAGTCAAAGGGTCAAAAAAGCATTCATAATTAAGCAACAAGATAGTTCAAAATCTTAGCACTTTAAATCATTGCATGGAATACAGTCTGTATGCACAGACTTGTATTAGTGGCAATGTAACAAAGGCAGCTGAAATGAACCACTAAGTGGTTCCTCTAGGCAGATATAAAGGGAAGTAAAATCACATGAACTGCTCCAATAAACACATATCTCCTTTTAATTGCATGGTTCAAAAGTAATGCTGGTGTAACCAAAGAGATGCCAGAAGAAGGCACCAGGAATTATCACAGAACAATAAGTATGTTATATACTAGTTGCTTGGTATTGCTTGGCTGTTGCTTGATTTTATTGTTTTTTTTTCCTCTCAGCTTAAATCAAGAAAGACACCAAAGAATCCCCACAGGTTAATCTTCTCTCACTACAGTTGACAGACATGTAATGTGTAATGGTTACATAAAGAATAATAATATTTAAAAATTTATTCTGATTTTCCTCATTTAACTAATTACTTTCCCAAACATACATATACACACGTGTTGTGTGTGTGTATATATATACACTTACTGCCTAGTAAGTAATTAGAGATTTATTAAAATTAAATCTAAAGTTGTCAAAGGATTACATTACCTGGTTTAATCTGGGAATTTAAGGGGTTCTTAAAATAAGAATTACATAGTATATAAAAGAAAAACAGAATCTACATTTAGAACAATGGCAAACCAAAGCAGAACCACATCTGCAAGCTGATTTTTAGACTGATGAAGCTATCTTACAA